GCTTAGAACAGACCAGTCTAAAATTTAATTTTTTAATATTTTGTGCTTTGATTTAATGTATTTGTTTGAAAATTTGCTTCAAATGTTTTATTATTGAAATTACGCGATAAGATGAGATATGTTACTTGTTTGGAAAAATTATTACATTGGTTGTATGTGTTTTGTGTTAAGTGTATCCAGAAAATGTATCTTTTTGTAGGTGTTTCGTAAAATTTTGGAATTAAAATATATTTTACTACCTTTTTTACACAAAGATAATTCTAAATTATAAATTTAAAAGACATAATTTTTTCATTGTTACTATTTTATTCGAACTTTTCATATGGTATAGATTTTCTTCATTTCATGTGCGATGTAATATATTGTATCAGTAGAATTTTTAGCGGGACACAATGTTGTACAATGTTAAAATCTTAAAAAATGGTATGCAATTTATCATGAAGACATTTTTGCACTTCATGATTTCAAGAAAGATAAATTTCGCAGGTAGGTTAAGGTTACAACGAATATTCTACTTACCTGTATGATGACGTCATAGTAAGCTATGTGACGTGAAGTTTAGAGAAAACAATTTCTTTTAATCAATATCTAAGATTGATATGAGGTCGTAAAAATTAATTAAAATATGCCGAGGCATAATATAAACAGAATTTTGTCGTTTCTGGGTCTCTGTAGTTATCACGGGACCGAACCCGTGACGTCATAACTGTTGATCATGCAGTAGCAGAGTGAAAGTGAAACGTAACGAGAATTCATGAAAACAAACACGAGAAATCGGAGTTTTAAAGCATTTCGAATAATTATCATGAGTAATTCATGTGGGAATAAAGCTTATGAATAAGGTAATATACTTCAACAATTTCTTCGTAAAATATAAGCAGGGAGGGTGTTTACCTGCCGACCAGCCTTTCCTCTGTCATTCGTAACAAATAAGATGCAAAAGTTCAACACTACGCCGCACACTTTGAAACTTTATTTTGTTTCGATTGATTGATATTATATTGTTTAACGCCGAGTCGGAAATATCTCAGCCATATTTCGGCGGACTATAAGGTTAATGGATAAGTAAAGTTTTTGGTTTCTCTGGCGGCCCCCAATGTCAGAGCCTACTCTTTTTCGAACTCCAGAGAAACGATCTTTTGCGTGCCAAGGGGGTTGTCATCCTTAACACGGGGCACCATTTAACGTCCCGTCCGACGGACTTGTATATTTTAAAGAATATACTAACTGTTAAAAATAGTGTATAAACTGTTGATAAAATAAATTCATATATGCTTATGCATTTCTAATCAAAATTACTTTCAAGATTTTATTCAAATTTTACTATAATAATCCGTTTCTTGTAGATATTCTAAAATTTTGTAAACATGAACATTTGTAAAAAGTTCATACATTGTTTTTATACTTCCAAAAAGTCTACTTCGAATAGGTGTAAAATCGGAACATTCTAAAAGTATGTGATTTATAGTTATCGGACAGTCACAGGATATACATTCTGGCTGTGACTCCCGATTCAATAAATAATCATGTGTAATTTTTGAATGCCCAATACGTATTTTCGATATAATTACTTCGTCCTGACGTTTCAGACCGAAGTGAGGTAATTTGTTAACTTTGTTTTCAATAGCGTAAAGCTTACTTTCGTCACAAAAATTCCAACAAATTTGCCAAAGAGAATTAAAATAAATTTTAACGAGATATTTCAAATCGGTGTAAGGAATTTTGAATAAAGTAATTTGATGTTGAAGTGCATTTTTGGCAGCACTGTCAGCTCTAGTATTTCCAGGGATTCCGACATGGCTCGGAATCCAACAAAAATTTACTGTTTTACCTTGTTGCGCCAAATGATAATATTGAATTAAAATATCAAAAATGTAAGGTTGATCAATATTCTTATTTTGTATAGATTGTAAGCAAGAGAGCGAGTCCGAAAATATTGTGAATATTTTTTCACTAGAAGATTTTATATATTCAAATGCGAGTTGAATGGCCTTTGCTTCGGCGGTAAAGATTGTTGCTTCATTTAGGAGCCGTGTAGTGAAAATACTGTCTTCCATCACGGCAGCTGATGCTACTTTATTTTTATCCTTTGAACCATCTGTATACACCTCGACTGTTGAACCATAAGATTGTTTTATTTCAGCATATTTTTGTTTAAAAACAAGACAATTAGTGTCCGATTTCTTAAATTCAGTAAAAGATAAATGTACGGTTGGATTTATTAATTGCCATGGCGGTATTTCCGAAAAATAAGAAGGTTTTATAATATCCAAAGGTAATTCAGAATTTTTGATATGTTTTTTTAGATCTTAGACCAAGGGGTTTTACACATGATTTTCTCTTGTGATACAAGTCTTCGTACTGCGGATGGAACACACAATTATAAGCAGGATTATTAACATTTGCTTTTAATTTCAAAATATATTGCAACGTAAGTTTAATTCTTCGTAAGTCGAGAGGCGGTTCGTTTGCCTCAACATATAGACTGTCTTTAGGAGAAGTTCGAAAAGCTCCCAAGCACAGTCGGAGGCCTTGATGGTGTATTGCATCAAGAGCTTTTACGTATGAAGTTTTTGCAGAGCCATATACAATACAGCCATAATCTAACTTGGATCTAACTAAAGAACGATATAGTTTTAAAAGAGTATCATTATCTGCCCCCCATTTTGTGTTTGCAATTACTTTAATAACATCTAAGGCTTTTGTGCATTTTTCTTTTAGCATTTTAATATGCGATACAAATGAAAGTTTACTATCAAAAATAATACCTTAAAATTTTATCTCCTTAGCAACTTTTATAGGATTTCCATCTAGCAGTAAATGTGATTCGTCATGAGCCTTCCGTTTAGAGCAGAAATGCACACAGGCGGTTTTACTTTTTGAAAACTTGAATCCATTTGTATCAGCCCAGTCTTGAATTTTATTTAGGCAAGACTGTAATTTTCGCTCAATATAATTCATAATTTTAGCTTTATAACAAAGAACAAAATCATCCACATATAAACTTCCATGCATATCATTTTTCAGTACTACAGCTAAGCTGTTAATTTTTATGCTTAATAAAGTGACATATAAAATACTGCCTTGTGGTACACCCATTTCCTGTTCAAAGCTTTCCGAATAAGTAGACCCCAAGCGGACTTTAAAATGTCTATCATTTAAAAAATTCTTAACAAAAATTGGTAAATGCCCTTTTAGGCCCATATTGTCTAGATCTTCGAAAATGCCATGTCTCCATGTAGTATCATATGCCTTTTCCAAATCAAAAAACACAGATATAAAACATGCTCTTTTTTGATAAAAGCATCTCGAATATAGGTTTTCAGTCTTACCAACTGGTCAATTGTGCTTCGGTTTTTTCTAAAACCACATTGTATATTAGATAGAATATTATTGGTTTCAAGAAACCATATGAGGCGTTCATTAATCATCCTTTCCATGGTTTTACACAAGCAGCTTGTTAAAGCAATTGGTCGATAATTATTTGGATCCGTAGATTCTTTCCAGGTTTTGGAATAGGAATAATAGTAGCTTGGGTCCAGGAAGGTGGAAGTTGACCTCGCTCCCAAATTTTATTAAAAATTTTCAAAAGACACTCTTTGCTGTTTATAGGAAGGTGTTAAATTATTTGGTAATGAATCTGATCTGGTCCTACAGCTGTATCATGAGACTTTTCTAAGGATTTTTGAAGTTCGTCAATAGTAAATGGCTGATTATAACATTCATTGTTTTCAGATGTAAAATTTAAAGTTTTCTTCTCTTGAGATGTTTTATGTTTACTAAATTCAGGGCTCACATTTTTTGGTTGAGGAATTTTTATGAAATGTACTAGCTATTTCATTGGATATTTGTTTTTTATCCGTAATAATTTGATTTCCAACCTTCAGATGCTGATATTTTTCAGGACCTTTTCCTTTAATTTTCCTTATTGCGTTCCAAACCTTATTGATAGGAGTATGTGAATTAAGGTTGGACACGAATTTTTACCAAGTTTTTCGTTTATTAAAATTTATAGTTCTCCGAGCTTTTGCTCTAAATATACGGAACTTGCTTAAATTTAGAGATGTTGGTAATCTATTAAACTGTCTTTCTGCTTTTTTTCGAGCTTTAATAGCATCATGACATTCTTCTGTAAACCATGGTTTTCTTTAATTCTAGTAGAATTTGTCGAGGTTTTAGGTATGCATTCATTTGCAGTATTAAATAGTATTTCAGTAAATTTTTGAATTGGATCAGGATTGTTTTCAAACTTTTCATCCGAAATATTTTGTAAACACATAGTTTCAAATTGTTTCCAATCAGCCTTGTTAAGTTTCCAGTTTTGAGTAGAACTATTTTCCTCGGGTGTGTTTACTTTAATTATTATAGGGAAATGATCACTTCCACATAAATCATCATGTACTGACCAACTGAAATCCAGAAGTTAAGAAGAATCTACTAGAGTAATATCTATTGAAGAATATGAACCATTACCCGGATGCAGGTAAGTGCTAGAGCCGTTATTAAGTATACAAAGATTATGATGTGATATTGCATCTTCAAGTTTTTTCCCTTTATCTGTGATTTTATCGCTACCCCATAATGGATTATGGGCATTAAAATCGCCCACTATCATAAATGGAGCAGGAAGTTGTTGTATTAGTTTTGTAAGTTCTAAAGTTTGTAAATTATAGTTAGGAGGTACATATACTGAACAAAGGGTTATCGTTTTTCTAAGAGAAAGACGTACAGCTACTGCCTGAAGATTTGTTTTTAAGTCTACTTGACTATGAATGAATTTATTGTTAATTGCTAAAGAAGTACCGCCAGATGCTCTCTCCGTTTGAGCGTAATGGTTGTACATACTATAGTTTTTAATATTAATTGTATCTGTTTCCCTTAAATGCGTTTCTTGTAAGCATATAGCTACCGGGCAATGGTCCTGAATAAGTAAAGATAATTCGTTAAAATTGACTCTAAAACCTCGAAAATTCATTGAATAAACTTTTGATGATGCATTTTTATTTGATATGAGAAATAGGGGATATCCTCCCTTTATTTTTTGGGGGTGATACACTCCGGACTCGTGAGGAAGAATGACATGGAGTGATGTCCATCTCCTCGAAAACCCCAAATTTATTGTGGAGAGTGACAGACCCTTTGGGTAACCTATCACTCAACTGTTTTGGGGTGTTTTTGGAAGTGTTTTTTGAGGGAGATCTGTTTTTTCTCCCCGATGATGTTGATTTGTTTGTAGATGCTGGTTGTGATGGGGGTACGGTTTTTAGTGCAGCCGTAACTGCAGGACCTGTAGAAGCAGGCACTGAAGTGTGTTTACCTTTGTCAGGTGATGAAAGTGTTGGACAGAATGAAGTCTGCTGAAGAAAATCTTTCTCAGAGACTTGTGTAGACATGTCCTTCAAAGAGAACGATTTAACATTAGTTGCAAAAGTTAAATTTGGTTTTGGACTACTATATATGTTTACCAACTTTTTGGCTTCTGGATAAGGTATCCTTTTTTCAGCTTTGACCCTTTGTATTTCTTTCTCTTTTTTCCACATAGGGCATTGTTTGGAGGAAGCCATATGCCCGCCCTTGCAGTTTTTGCATTTGGGGTCGTTATGGCAACCTTTACCATCATGCCCCTCCTCACCACACCTGAAGCATGTTTCAGAACTTTTACAATTGGATTGTCCGTGTCCAAATCTCTGACATTCAAAACAACGCAGAGGGTTTGGAACGAACATTTCAACTTTCATATTGTAAAGCCCAACTTTAATACTTGTCGGTAATATTGGTATGCCAAAGGTCAGAAGGTAGGTATTTGTTGGTTCTATATTATCGTTTCGCTTTTTGGTAAACCTTTTCACAGAGACCACTCCCTGGGACTCCAACTCAGATTGGATTTCCTGCTCAGGAATGTCATCCAGGTCGTGATCCCTGTCGAAAAGGATACCCTTGCTCTGGTTTAATCCACTGTGGATTTTACCAACAACAGGAATATTGGCAAGCATTTTCAAATCTAACAAAGAAGTTGATTGTTGTTTTTTGGTTACTTCAATAAGAAGAGCACCGGATCTCAACTTTTTAACAGATTTAGGAGTACCGATGATTCCTTGAATACCTTTTTGAATGATGAATGGCGATACTTTTGTTAAAGGCTTCGTATGTTGTTCTGATAATTGTGCCTCAAGTGTGATGAAGCGGGGCCAGTGTTCCACGATAGAATTCAGTTGTTCATCGTTTAAAGTAATATCGAAACCTGCTGGAAAGCAACGTTTTTTTTGAGAGAGCCATGATTGTATTAGAAAGGATTCAGAATCCTTGCTCCCCGCCCGCCTCGGAGCGCCAACAAGGGCGATATCCAGTCAAACGGTCATCCAGTAAGACCGATACCAAGAGGATACAAAGAAACTATACTCAGACATGATATGCCTGATTGACCCTAAGCCACCGCTTAATACATAAATATCAACATGGAATCTTCGGCGTATTGGAAATTGCAAAACAGGTAAACAGATAATGAAAAAAGCAACACATCAATACTATGGCATGTAGATATAATTAGCTCGGCATGACTAGCCGATTGATCAAGTCGGGCCAAACTTGACCTCCCGTCTAAATGAATATGGGGCCAAAGTGGAGTGTTGGTCGGACAGGTGCATAATACCCAGCACCTGCAGACCTCAGCCACCAGGATCCCCTTCTCCACCAACACGGGTCGCAACCCACGGCCAACAGGTTGCCCCATTTAGTCGCCTCGTACGACATGCAAGGGGGTGCCAGTGACCTATTCTTATCACCCCGGGTCCCTACGGGGGGCAGCTTGTCTGAGGATGTAGAATGGTAATTCTCTCAGACATTGTTTTCTGTCCCGAAAACGCTGAACTCTGTGAGCGTCACGCAATTTCGTTGAATTTGATTTCTTGGATGGCACTTTACAGTTTTTAGCGTAATGTCCGTATTTTCCACAGTTAAAACACACTGATGGAGAAGGCTTTTTATAGGAACGAATGTATTGCAGCCGATTAGAATTTGTTAACATCCATGTTGGTCGAAAGTAAGAGTCCATCGTGTTGTTTGATGTTGGGGGAAATTAAACTCATGGGTAGAACACGTCGCTGGCGTCGTGAAAGGTACAACACAAAGGGGAACGTCCCGATTCTTCACCAAATATAACCGTCTAAATTGTGCATCTACTATTCTGATGGATAATACGGAACTCTAATATGCAGCTTTAACAGATTTATTAACAAAAGGGACAGGCTCCGCCATATAGCGGACGAGAGCGCTGTCCAGCGTGGCTGTCTTGGCGAAAGCCAACCGATGACTGCCTAAAATGTACAAAACAGCAAATTACATACAATTACATAATATTTACAATAGAGTTATTTATCAATCAATTAAGCAATTATTTGTATCGTCCATAGATAATTGTTTACTCAAGTCTTAAACTCCGAAGTCCTTGACACCTGTTCAATTTATAATTAATCTGCCCGGAGGCGCTTTGATCATTGTCCCGGATGAATACCAATTTCCTTTGTCACATTTGTCTGCAAACTGAATCATAAGTACTTATTTATACATTACATAATGTTCTGAGAAATTCAATACGTACAGTTGTAATATGTAAATATTAAGTTTTTTGAATGCAATACCTTTCAAACGAAACACTTTCACTGAAACCCTCAAATGTTTCCATTTCCTGAACTGAAGTGTAAATCTGCAATTATAAGTAACATGTGAAAATAAAGCATTGAAAACTTTGAATTATCTTCATTGGAATTTTCTAGAATTAGAAATCTTTTTAGTGACACATGCTTGTTTTCCCCGACATAGCACTAAAATAGAAAGAAAATTCTACGTTACAATTGTTTTGAAAGTTTAGAGGATTGGCAAAATTGATAAGAGCAAAGGTTTAATTTTCCATTGTACATTTATAAGCAAACATAATGAATTAAAAAACAACTTATATTTATGAAACATTGTATTCTTAAATGATGTTGATTAAGATATACATAAAATTGTGTGATTTTTATTTCGAAATTTAGTTTTATGTCCATGAACGGAATGAAATATGGAAATCACTCTTCTCTATTAAAGCTGAACACGATTCGTAAAAGGAATCTGTCCTCCGTTTTTTCTTCTCGGGTCTCGCTACTCTGCAGATCCCTATTTATAGGACAGGCATCGTCACTGTTCAGTGTAATCAGTCATCATCGGTGTAGACGGACGTATGCCAGACAGAACAGAAAATATTAACGTCATACTTCGTTTAATGCAGGAATCCATTAGCATTATTCTGTGGTTTTAATGATGATTAACTCTAATATTTAAGGATAAAGTGTCATTTATTACCTCAAAAGTTGTCATATTGGTAGATCCATAGCAACGCTGGTTATTGAAGTCATTAGATGGCTGTATACACTTTACAGTGTATACAGCTCCTACTTCAACTTTCTCTTCTGGCTCCTTACCCCAGAGGGTAAGGAGGACTGTTCTACCCTCATAGCCATTTGCACCTCACGCCGTTGAGAACCATGTTATTTCTCCAACCTAAATGTTGAAAAAAATCTGTATCATACACATTATTTAAGAGTGAGAAACATACACAGAGATAGAGAGAGAGATTAACTTACACTTTTTACTAGCATGGGAGCAAGGGACATCCTCGTGTCATTTGGTAGTGAAGATGCCTCCATTAACAAATATGTCTTTGGGTTTATGTACATTTCAATGGCTCTTTGCTCCTCTTCGCTCAGAACAAAGAAGGTGTCCATAATCTATATGAAAAATGTGAAATAAGTTTTAAGAGTTGTCCTAAATTTATTGATAGTTTCGGAATAATTGCTATTTAGCGAATGAAAAAGGTCTTTTTAAATATTTATAATAAATATCTATATAATTTTTAAAACAAAATTGATGAGAAGGGCGTGCAAAATGCTCATTGTCATTAAATATGTATGAAGTCATATTCATTTGCAAATAATTCTGAAGAAGGATATGGAGATAACGAGCAAGACTCAATCTCAAAATCCATTTAACAATATACAAAATAAGAGTAAAGCAAAAATGGACTTCCGAACATTTGATCAGGTGCCATGGAGGAGTGAGCATCCTCTGTCAACCGGTTATAACCGCCGTGTGCTCATTGTCATGATCAGAAAATAAAATCTTCCTGGTTCTAAATTAAAGGTTTATAAAATACCCGTAACAGAGAGGAAATTAATTAAATAAAATTAAAGAACAAAACTGTAAGGACTAAATAGTTTCTACAGTTTTTTTTAAAAAAATAAAGGAAAACAAGTTTGGCTTTCCAGAAAGCCCGAACTGTCATCTCTTTGGCTTCGTTAATGTCACAGAATAAACAGTAAAATGTAACTTTTTCTCAGCTATTACATATTTTTCTATATTAGTCCTCTGGGGAAGGGGGGTGGCATTTTATCTGAACAATATTAGATAAAGAAAAAAAGAGTAAAAATCCTATGTTGTGGATAAAAAGGAAATATTTTAACAAATTTATTTTTGGAAAGCTGTATATTTATTGTGCACAAAAAAGTGCGCTGTTTCTCCATTTATTTCTCCATGTTTTTCAAAATTTCATCTCAAAATATTACTAACCGTGTGATCCTAACATATTATTTCGCTGTTTCAACAACAAAACGTTCCTTTTTATTATTGTTAATCTCCGTCCTGGCCCTGAAAGTGAGATTATCGAAAAAAAAATTGTTTGCCAGATTTAAAAAAACCTTGTGCTTTTGTTTCAATATAATTCGGTCTAAAGCGCTTTGTGCAGATGTCAACTACGAAAGCACTTGATAGAAAGGTAAGAAATTTCTATAAATTCACTTTTTTGCAATTGAAGTAAGAGTTTAAAAGAAGTTATCCAGAATAAAGCGCATTTTTTTGTGCGCAATAAATATACAGTTTTTTTTCAAAGGTTGGCACTGTAGCCCCCTGGTCTGTCAATATATTTTTCCGGAGAGTTACTGTAACAGTTTTGCAGCTAAGAAAAAGAATGCAACTTCTTTTATTATAAACATGAAATTATACTTTTTAAAAAGAATAGATTAGACATGCAATAAAATTCTAATTAATGCTTCTTTGTGTTCTTTAATTTTCGATCAGTGTCCGTAGTTTCTTATGGACATTAATGTATCCGCTTATTTACAGTGTAACATGTGCTTTTATTTTTCTGAAGGTTCCAGCTTTACTGTTAATACATTCGATGGCTTAATTAGACTTAAATGTATTATTTTAAAGAAATTACAGCAAGTTTATAGAATGATTGATGAAGCAAAAAATTGAAGTGTTCGCCAACAATCCATATCAGTAAATGCAATTACTTATATAAATGTTTTAAATTTGATGATGTTTTTCTGTGAAATCTTGGATCCACGCGTAGGCCGCAGAGGATCTTTATACACGCACTGACCTAGTTAGAAAATTCCATCGAGTTCTCACCACCATTTACGTTTATAGCCAAGAAGACTTTACATGAGAATATACAGTGCATGCAACATGTATATTTGAAGAATCACCAACACCCAGGCGATTTTGTGTGTCTGACTCTCTATGATGCGCAGATTGTTTTTTCTCAATAATAAGGCAGATCGCTCATTGTTTAACATCTCGATCTATATTTAGAAAATCACATCATCATCAAACTGACCAGTCGGTAATCCTCGGATGGCCTCGCACTGTTTGTATGGAGCGTAGTGGAGTTAGCCGAGGATTGCCGATTGATAAATGGCACTACACATCCGGAAATCAAACAATGTGTCATCTCTCGAGAGAGATGACAAAAATAGGGAAAACATTTTTTGGTTTTTTAATCTAGGTATAGCAAAGAGAAAAAAATAGATGGGGAGGGGGGTTATCATAATAAATATTTATATTAAATTAATTTCATTTTCATGATTTTTGCAATTCCCTGTACATATGAGGAAAAAATACCATGCCTTTTTTTTTATCTTACATAAGAACAAGATTACATGTACCTTTTTTTTTATCT